ATTAGGGGTTTGGCTGGGGTGGGCCCCCAATCCCGAGGCTCCGGAGGAAGCAGGTCCCAACTCGGGTTCGGTTTGTCGGGATTTGGGGGATGCTGGAGGGGGGACATTGGGATTTTCGGCTGGAGAGGGACAAGCTCCAGGCGGGGAGCTGGGGGGGGGAAAGGATGGATTTAATCAGCTGGATTTAGTTGGAATGAAAAAAAATACTCTTCCCAAAATGGAGAGGGAGACCTGGCCGGGAAGCACTGGCCCCGGGGGTGCCCCAAAACCGGCCCCAGGGAGCCTCAGTGCTTCTCACCTCCAGCATTCCAGAGGGTTTGGGGATCCCTGGAGCACAAAGAGGGATCGTGGGGGGATTGTGCCATTCCCCTTCCCCCAGCAAAGCCCCGGGACGATCCCAAAACCCCCTGAAACATCCCAGTCCTGCGGTGTGGGCGAGGAAGGAGCCGAAGGGGTTAAGGCAGTGCCTCTCCAGCACATTTTGGAAAGGAAAAACTCTTTGGATCCGGTTTAATTTTCCAGCGATGACTTGGAAGGGGGAGAGAAGAGGGGGAGAAACTTATCCAGGGCTTTTTTTCCCCCTCCTCTGTGGTTTGGAGAAGCAGTTTAAGGGTCGGGCTGGGCTGGTGGGGACCCCTGTCAGCACCCCCTTGGCACCCCCAGGGCACCCCAGCCACCCCTGTCACCCTCCCCCTCCCCCCCTTCTTCGGAGCCTCTGGAAAGGGAATTAAAATGGGGTGATTTTTGCTGTCTTTGTGCTGGTGGTGCCATGGGCAGGACCAGCCTCAGCCAAGGGGGTGGGGGACCCCCCTGCACCCCTCAATCCCTGCCCTCGTGGTGCCACCTCAGGGGGGTCCCCCTTGCCATGGGGGTCCTGGGCTGTATCCAGCCTGGCACTGGGTGCTTTGGCTTTAGGGTGTTGCCCGTGGGGGTCTCTTATCCAGCTGGAAGGTCCTGCTCCCCAAAAAGCATCTCCCCCCCAAGGCCGCTTTGTTTTCCGGAGGCGAAGCGCGGATCGGGATCACGGGGGACGGGGGAATGTAAACTCTCCACCCAGGAATGCAGGAGCTGGGAGAGGAGGGGTTTTTTTTAAAAGGCTTGGATGTCCCGGCTTTGGAAAACAGAGCTGGGATCTGGGATTGCTCCTGAGCCCCAGGGGTACTGAGGGCTCCCAGGGCACCCCATGGGCACTGCTGGGACCCACCGGGGGTCCCTGTCCCCCCATCTGGGCCCCACGGGATCCTGCAGTGGAGCTGGAATTGGAGTTGGAATTGGGCCGGATCCTGTGCCATGTGGCCTTTTCCGAATTTCTGAGGGGGTTTTGGAGGTTTTTGGCTCTTGGGGCTGTTTGCAGCCCAAGCAGGGAGGTGCTGGAGGGTGTCTGCAGGCAGCAGTCAGTGTGTGTCCCCTCCACCCCCTGGTCTGTCACCCCAGGGATGGGGCACCCTGGATCAGGCAAACACCAGGGACAGGTCACCCCAAGGATGGATCCCTCTGGGAATGAGTCACCCCAGGGACAACTAACCCTGGGGACAGGTCACCCTGGGAATGGGTGACCCTAAGGATGGGTCACCCCAGGAACGGGTCACCCCAGGAACAAGTCACCCCTGGGGAGAGATCATCCCAAACCCAACCAATCCTGGGGATGGATAACCCCTGTCCAAGTCACCCTGGGGACAGGTCACCCAGAGAACGGGTCCCCCCAG